CCCCCGGAACTATCGGGGTGAAATATTTGTCGGATAGCTGGTAGAACCAGGTCGATTCGTTCCTAATTAGAAGAACACCGATTCAGGATGAGTCTACTGTCTGGGACTAGTGACTTTGTTCTTGTTGGAAATAGAAAGAACGTTCTGGAGGACGGTCTTATTGGAAGAGTAAAACAGGTGGGATGTAGGAATATTAATGTATGGAATAATTAAGAATCGAATCGCGGAGACAGTGAAGGGAGGAGGGTACGAGAGTATATTGGTACATGGATATAGGAGTACTGAGGTATAAAAGTACTATGGAATTGGAATTTGTAGGGTATAGAGGTCTACGAATATATGAGTACGAAGATTATAGGGATATTGAGACTGTACTGGCGCACAGAGATACTGTGCAATAAGAATATATGGATATGCGAGCAGAAATAAGGGTAGAACATGGGGGATACAAACATATGAAAGTATTGATGTTCCGAGACGTTCTAGCCACCACCTATGCAGGTACCTGATTTAACTAATTTTCATTAAAAAATGTGATAAAAGCAGGAGTGGGGACAGTGACCTTGGACGGCCAATTCATTCTGCCTACACTTCGTAACCCATGCAACAGCTGTGTTCCTCCTAGCGACACTGTTTGTGACTTCCGAGAACATGGAGGCAGGAATTTTCATGCCCAGTATTTTTCATCGGTATAAAACAGATAAGAATTGATGGAAGCATTGTACCAAAATCTAGGTTTCCATCTGGATAACAATTTCTATCGAATGCGTAAAAATTGTGAAAAGATATATTTCGGAACACAACAGTCAAGGTTGGCTTTAAATAGCTTTCGGAGTCAAGTACGAAAAGGCGGTGGCAGCTTACCGAAAGATAATGAAAAAAAGCTGAAAGAGCGGCGTCGAGAGCGAAGAAAACTATTACGGGACAAAAGGAGAGCGAAGTGGTGGCTGTGCCTTAAATGTGAGAAATGGCGGCACGAAACGCGAGTGTCGAGTGCACGATAATCTCGACGAAATTTTTGGGGGACAAAGACAAAATGTGCCTTGGGAAAGCAGTTAATTAACAAAAGGACGCTTTAAAAAAATTGCATAATGCGAGGGTATAAATTATCTGTATCGCCATCCCTAACAGTTACTTTTTTCCAACAAAAACGACTGATCGAACAACACACGCATGAAACGTCATACTTGCACTTCTGTTGCACGTTTGAAATCTTTTTAACGTGAAATTAATTATTACGAAATATCGATTTAAATAATGAGGAAATTTTGTGTATTGCTCTTATAGCGAAGAAAGGATTTGTAAAGCAGATCGAATTAGAAATACACGTTTATGCTTCATGTTTGCATAGTATCTGTAAATAGCATTCGAAACTTTTTGCGCAGTTTTTCAATAAAATGTTAAATCGAAACGGAAACCGATTAACGATACGTCCGGTGGAAACTTCACGAACAGTTGAAATATTGCTTTCTAAAAGCAATACTGTTTCTGAAACCTATACTGCGCGAAACTTTCTCCGTTATTTCATTCGCTGTATTTAGCACCGAAGAAACTTTAAGGGCCATAACAGTTTTAGATAAAAAAAAAACAAAAAAAAACATTTCCGATAACAGAATCCTGTAAAATTATTAAGCTATTGGAAGATCGAATAAATCGATGCTGGTAACGGTAAAATTCAACGAAACATTATTACGGGTTTATCAGTTAAACGATAAGGGGAGAAACAAGCAATGTTATAAAAGGGGTTTATTGAGAAAATCAATCTCTGATACTTTCGTCCACCGCTAAAGAAACAAGGTTCGATGAATTTCTGTAATTCCATTGTTCCGTACTCTGATCAGGTAACAAAAAATCACAAAAAACGTTTCTGCTTTTTGACATTGTGTGATTCGATAATTTCGCAGCCCCCAGTCGACACCGACGAACCGCCTACCCCTTCAATTAATAACAAATATTCGTTAGCGATACAACTTTCATTTCGCCCAGGCGTCGACGTCGCTTTACTTCGGAAAGTGTAAATGTTTCGCTAAACTTTCATGAAATCAGCAAAATTGCGCGACTGCAAACACCTGCGCCACTCGACGTTCGGTCATCGTATTTGTCCATCAAGTTTATTTCCGCGTGAACTCGGTAATTTATTCCCGTGCGCATTCAATTACTAAATTTCTGACACCGTGTACATAAATTTTCGTAATTTTTCCACGCATCGTTTACAAACTATTGCCGTTCGTTTGGAACGTTTGTTTCGCTCCACGTGTAATCAATATAGCGTTGCGTCGAAAAACATCCCCCTCCCCCATAAATAATCTAGGGACAAACTATTTGTGTATTGGATTATTGCGTTATTGGGATATTGAGATACTGGGTTAGAAGTGAAACGTATACTTTCCGAGAGTTGGCAATCTTAAGAATGTGATGCCAGCAGCTATACATAATCAAAAATGGAACAAAGGGGCTGCTCCACTTTCAACCAATTGTCCAGAGTTTGAAAGAAAGTGACGTTGTAGAAAATCAGGCCGTAATACAATCGCCAATGAAGAATGCAAAGAGATTTCTATCACAGAAATTGTATCTCTAATCGAATTACCAACAGTATTTTCTCACTCGAGTCCGTTAATAACAATTTAGAAATATAAGGACTCCACGAGCCTGGCCATATTGTTTGTTGTATTTTCACGTGAACGAAAATACGTAGGTAGAATCGAATGGTTGTGAAATATGCTAATTGCAAAACTGTGAGTAGTTCATTAATAACGACAGGTATACTGTTTTTCGCATGGTATCTTGTACAACGTAGGAGCTAAGAAAGCAAAGCAAGTACACGTATATGTACATGATAAAAGAATTATTCGCATAGAAACTATTGCGTGATCCTGTTCCACTTCGTGGAGTCGCTTAAAGTGATGTACTTCTTATCTTGCAGATATATCTACACGATGACGTTTTCATACAGACGTCATATATATTTCTGAACCATTCTGAGATGCACTGGCTATGCTTTTCTTATCTCCCCAACATTGTATAGTATCGTATACGATGCACCTTAACAATATCAGTTACATACAATTGCCTTCCATGTTGTTTATAAACAGTGCATTGTATTTCACATGGAAAAAAAACACTTGTATGTGATATTTGTAAGAATTTAAGTTAGAATATTATCGTTAAAGGAATGTTTAAAGACTACATTTAGTCAATGTTTCTGTTTCAAAATTGCTACTTGCGTACCAAATAAATAGTAGATAACGTTCGTAATAAATTATATTATGACACAGTTCTAATAATAACATACGACTCGTTTCAAATACAACTTTTAATTTAATTTTAAAACATCAAAATCCTTCAATCCATTCAGAAGTTATCATTTTTTAAACATACACATGAAATTTCAAGAAAACATTTCTTGTTCCACAGTTTATTTTCAGCAGAGAATTTTTTTCTCGAAAGTACGTAGGATTTCGGGGGTATGTGTATTCACCAAAAATTATTGTAATTGGCCCTTGCAACCGAAAATAATTTTTTTAGAACGATTTGAAATTTTTTAATTTTGTCGAAAAATTTTCCTGTCGGTATGACAGTCAGACTGGGCCACGAAAAACCATAAGGTGTAAGCACAGACAAGGTATACGACTAAACCTTCATTAGTATTGATAGGCAACAGCTGTAGTGTTTGCGTAAACACATGTAGAGTTAACTATGGAAAGGATTAAAATTCATTTCTGAATCTGTTGGTAACGTTGCGAATGACACGAAAATGGTAATGGGGTTTCGAGACCTCACAAAAATGGGCCGAAAAAATACATTGGGTGAAAGATCTACTCGTTTACCTCGCCTGTGGTGTAAGGTGAACCTATACCTTGTCTGTGCTTTCACATTATGGACTTTAGTGGCCCAATCTGACTGACATACCAACCTGAAAATTCGGAGGTGATTTTAGCGTCCTCTTCACATGGATGGCGGTCAGTTGAGAAACTATTCACTAAATTAGTATTGATAGGCAAACAGCTGTAGTGTTTGCGTAAACACGTGTGAGTTGACTATGGAAGGGATTAAAATTCATTTCTGAATCTGTTGGTAATGTTGCGAATGACACGAAAATGGTAATGGGGTTTCGAGACCTCACAAAAATGGGTCAAAAAAATTCATTGGGCGAAAGATCTACCTGTATACCTCGTCTGTGGTGAAAGGTCTACTCGTATACCTCGTCTGTGATTTGGTTATTACAAAATTGACTGCTGTTGATCATTTATTATCAGGTGGTAAGTACTTTCATCGCAAACGACGATTTCTATCACCCTAGCGTTCGGAATTCATACTAAATACTGGGGGGAAAAATTACTTCGTAAACAATCGAAATCAAATTAAAATAAACTAATTAGGATCTATTAGAATAAAGAAAGAACTAAGTAGTGGAACCTTATAGCTCACTGACAATTTTCATGGCACTAACAACGTTGTAGATTTAAAATCAAATAATGTAATATAATCAAATAGTCTATTAGTGATGTTCCGCCATCATAGATTCATGATACCACAATTGGGACTTAAAAAACTCTAAAGATGTGAGAACAGTTGGAATGTCAAATATTTTAATAAGATACTAAAGTATATGGAATTAAAAACATTCTCTAAAACCGCCCCTGGTGAAACATACCAAATTTAATTAAGATGTTTGCTTGAAAATCAATTTAAAAGAACAAGATCAAGTATGGACTTCAAAGGTTTCGCCTCTTATTGTTGGTATATCTACCATTTAAAATATAGTTATAATCTTTTGTAGGGCGTGTTTACAATAATAGTTCTATGTAACTATGTAGCTATGTTAAACAGTCAAACATGTTTTTCCTTCCGTTTATTATGTACTAATGTAATCGTTAGTAATGTATAACGAGAATATACCACAAAATGTTGCTTTTGGACACTTCTAACCTCAAACTTTAGTTGTAGTTGATTGATATTAGACGCAGCAGATGGCGTGAAAGTTTTCTATAGAAACGTCACGTTACTCGATGTAGGAAAACGGTTATATACTTGATTTTAACTGAAAAAAATTTATTTGTTCAGTCAAAGTGTTTACAAAAACTTGGCATTTCGATTAACATATAAAAATGTTACTTCATGCTAGTGTTTGTACACGGTTGTGAAATACGGCAGCAATGGAGTTTGTACGATCACCAGAGTCGCGATAACAGCACTTCGTAGCGAATAAGTCATCCAATTTCAATTACATTAGTGATTTCATTGCTAACATATGTACCAGTTCGGCAATATGTAAACTTCGCATTAATCTTCTAGTTCCCTAGAACACATCATTTACAAAAACGCAAGTATCCGACCTCGACTTGTTAATTTAACCTGTTCACTGTTAAATTAATCGATGATAGGAAAAACATCTGCATTGTATTAATATCACGAGTGCACTGGAGACATAGCCATTAAAAGATTTCAAACAAAATGCTCTTTCTTTCTGTTCGATAGGTTACCGTAGAAAATAATATAACACCATTTCTGTGTATCAAACACCAACAAAAATGACTGAGAAAACAGCTTTGAAATACAACAGTGTAAACGAGCTGCAGCAAAAAGCAAAAATCAATTACAGAAGCATGCAACCGTCTTATGTTTACATGAAGCTGCACGACTTGAGCACTTTGGCTGAAAACAATAGGAAAAAAGGAGACGAAGAGAGCCAATACATCATGCTGTTCCGATGGTTAATGTGTTTCAATTGGTTGAAAAGCATGCACGAGTATAAGGATGATAAAATGTTCACTTCTATGAAACAGGTGGGAAGCGGCACACATTTGATTAAATTTATCATTTCTAAATAAGAATGTTCAGAATGAAATGGTTCCAGATGCTCTGCACTGTACGATAAACTCTATATAAACATTTGTATTGTAGATCAACGAAGTAAAGAAAATACTTGAAGACTTGAAACATAGGTTAGATTCTCGATACAATCAACAACTAAAACAGAGAAAATTGGACAAAAGCAAGAGCGCAGAGAAAATGGACATAGATAACGAACCAATAGTTGATTCCTACATGTCCCCGGTGGATGGTCCAATAAATTTACCTGAAACGCCAACCAGGGATCCATTGGTCGGCGATAACGAGGAAATTATAAACTGCGATCAGCTGTTCCCATTAGTGCAGGATATTTACGGCAGATATTTGATCATCGACATCAGGGCGAAATCTGAATTCGAAAATTCGAGGATATCATCCACCAAGTGTGTTAACATTCCGAGAAGCGAGATAAAATCTGGGTAAGTAAATAATGTCTAGGACGATAAGACACGCACCTGTAGCTCTCGAAGGCTAGGAATTTTCTAGTGTCACACAATGTGAGTAATGAATTTTTAAATAGAGAACTTAAGCGATCTTGCCTTCGGGTTTCGCGAAACTTCGGGACTGCAGACGATTTCCTGAGCAGACCCGAACGCGACCCGAACCCGAGAACGTTTCCCGACCCGATCCGACTAGGCCCGAACCCGACCCGAACCCAAAATGTCGGACACGCGACACTTCCTTAGAAAGAATGAGACTTCTAAAAGCACTGCTTGTTTGTAATTTCAGTCTGTCGGCTATGCATTTTGAGAAATATCTTCATAAAGACAAGAAAGCTCTGGATTTGTATCGGCACAGAGGCTCTCAATATGTCGACGTTACAATTTTGATGGACTGGAATACATCGAGTAAAACTTTAACGACCGATAGTCATTTGAACACGTTGAGGAAGATTTTAGAGAATTGGGACCCCGGCATTAGGCACACGAAAATCACGATATTAGATGGGGGTTATGCAGAGTGGGTAACTCGTTACCCAGCATTTACAACAAATCCCAATATCCCCGAGCCTGTCGTGAACGACGATATTATGAACGAGATGTTAGATGATATAGAGTATCCTGATTGGATACATTCGGACGACGAAGATAGTATTAATAAAACGCGCGAGAGTAAAGGAATTAGTTTAAAACCTGTAAATAAGAAGGACAGAACGTCGAAAGCGAACGTTCTAAACAATAAAATATTGTTCAAACACGGGGATTCGGAATCGAGCAACAATGCTTATGCTATGCGATCCAACAATTCCGTGAACGCTTCGATCGAAGCGGACAAAATTCCTGCGGACGTTAGCATGAAGCAATACAACGAAACTTCGTTGAAACTGCAACGCAAAGATTCGTCGATCGCGATGAAGAAAAATGACGTGCCGGCGAAACCGACCGTTGATCGTAGCAACAAACCAGTTTCCTTGGACCCGGTCACCTCCGAATCTCAAACGGTGCTGAAGCTAATGAGACAACTGAACGAGGTTGCGAAAAGTAAAGAAGCCTTGGAGCAAGAAATTTTGGAACAGGAACGTGCTATGTACGTGCAACACGGTATCAAGTACAAAGGTTCGAACGAGGAGGAATACATTCGTGGTGCGTTGAAATCGCTGGGCTCGAAACTAGAAGAGAAGGTAATGAAAGGTTTCGCGTTAACGCCGGTTTAGAATAGAAACTGATACTAACAGCTTGAATTTACGTGACAGGATACGGAGTACAAGATAGTCGAGGATGAACTCGCCAAGTATTACACGAAAGTCGAGTCGATAAAATTTAATTCGACCGAAAAGAATGAGAAGAGCAATTTAGATTTCAATCTTCTAAAGTTAAAATTACGCATGAAGGACACGACCGCGGCTCGAAACAAATTACAAGAGTAAGTACAGACACGAGGTATGCGATTTTCACTTTGCCTGTCGTTTTACGTGTGCGTGTGCGTGTGCAGAAAATCTAGAAAGAACGACTATAAGGAAGCATCAGGGAAGGAAAACGAGGGCAACGTTCACAAAGAACCACTGAAAACGGAGAGTCCGTCGATGGGCAGTAGCTTGGAACGTTCCTATTCCAGCCCAAATTTGCTACAGGTACGATCATTCAAGAAATTTTATATTCGAAGAATTTATAAAACCGTGCTTTTAGTTGATAGATCGTAAAGCACCGCAAGTGGACAGGACATCGAAACCACAGGCACCTACGTACAGTCAAAATGGATCTTTCAGCACCGACAATAAAATGTCCCACATCAGTTGGACGAATCGCGAAGAAAGAATGACACCGGTTCACGGAAGCGTAGTAAGTATCGATATCTGCTACTAATAATTCACAGCAAATTTAAACGAGCAACTTTTCATCGATATCGATCGATTCGGTTTGAATTCGATTATCGTCTTGTATTTTTACGCGCCAAATTCGAAATCGCTGACATCCACGTGCTCGCAACCCACGTGGTCCGAAGATAATAAAGCAGACGTTTAAATAAGGTTCGATCATTGTTGTATGTCGTGCTTTGTTCGAAATATACGCGCCCACGTACGGCGTACTATAAATTGCACCCTGCTGTTAAAATTAGTCGATTTCGTGATTCGGGTTCGTGAACGTACCGAACTGCGTGCGGCAGATATGCACGTGAGCACAGAAACATTTTATACCTGTAAGGTTTCTCAATCCAATTTTATCGAACCTATTCGATGGACCGCGTCAGTATTTACCCGACTATCGTCACCGGTTACGTTTGACGAGCGTCGACCGCTAATTTTTCTCGCGTAAATCTCGACCACCGACTATAATTAGTGCGAATTTGGCGCAACTATCGAACGGAAAAATTGTGCTCCCGCCGCGATATAGAATGTTCGACCGCGTACAGATTTTTAATATCTTGAAACATGTAGAGGAATACATCGTCTGCTATCTCATGATTAAATAAACCGTGAACGAAAGATGGTCAACTTGTCCAGAAAATTTGTGCCGCATTTTAACGTTTACTATTTCAAAAAGGTACCTTTTTTCTCGAACGTACACGAAGAGATTTATTTATTACACGATGGTAATCTACTTTTCGCATAGTCTGTTTTCACTTATTCGGCTAAAAGCGACTCTAATTTCCGAGCTGCCGACGCGGTTGCAGGTTTCCCGAAAATTATGAAAGAATCGAATTAATGTTTAAGCTCAATGCTTTTCGCTCATTTGTTGTAGCATCCAGGTATTACAGGGTTGAAGAACTTAGGAAACTCCTGTTATATGAACAGCATTATACAATGCTTGAGTAATACAACCCACTTAGCTAAATATTTTACGGACAATTTGTACGCCGATGATTTGAACACGAATGACGATAACGGCACGCAGTGTCAAGTCGTGGAAGAGGTTGCTCAAGTAATTAAAGCACTCTGGCGAGGTCAATACAAGAGCATCTCCCCTCACGATCTGAAGGTATAAATTTTATGTAAGAAAAATGCCCGTCTGTCATAGCGATATCAATTAAAAAATTTCGATTCTCATATTATCATTGTTAGATCGCTGTGGGGCAATATAAATTGCAATTCGAGAGTTACGAGCAACAAGATTCCCACGAATTCTTGACGTTTTTGTTAGACTGGATGCACAACGACCTGAGGAAGGTACGAACTGAATTTTATAAATCTGTTGCATTTTCCTTCTCAAATATTTAGAACTTACTACCGTGGGAACAAGGTAGACTTCATTTTGTTTTTAATTAGGTGTTAATAACTTACGTTTACAGAATTGCAAGGCACCGTTAGAAATGACCGTTGCCGAAGAAGCGTGGGATAAAGCAATGAACTCACAGAAATCCATAATATCCGACCTCTTCTTCGGTCAACTAAGATCGACCATAACTTGCAGCTTCTGCAAGCAGATTAGCACGACGTACGAGACTTTTAATAGTTTGACAACTTCGCTGCCACACTCGAATCGGTGCACGTTGAACGTACGTCCCTAATTAACATTGAAATCATTGATAATCGCTTGCACGAGCAAAGACCCAATCTGTACCTCACCGATTTTAACGTGCTTCTGTAAGGTGATAAAGAATTCTTTTCATTGATTATATTTAAAAAGCACATTAATAATCGGGGGAGGGTAGGTTAGATCTTTCCCTTGCCGGTACCTGTACAAAACAAGTGTCTTCGCTCGTAGGATTGTATTCTAAGGTTCGTGACTGGGCAAAAGGTAGTCGGATGGAAGTGTCCAAAATGTCAGACGGCGCGCGAGGCTATGAAGAAATTCGATTTTGTAAAACTGGCGCCAGTGATTGTGATACATTTGAACCGTTTCGCGGAGAGCGGCGGTTGGCTCGAGAAACGAAACACCGCGGTAGACTTTCCTCTCACAGGTTTCAATTTGAAACCACATCTGGTTATGGACAACAATACACCGACGACTTCAAACATGCGTAGCTACAGTTACAGTTTGTACGCGATGTCTAATCATTACGGAACCATGGAGGGCGGTCACTACACAGCTTTTTGTAAAAATGCTGCACAGAATAAGTAAGTGAACACGTTTATAAAACACCTGCTACGCGGACTACAATAAGCATTAAATATATTGGTTGTTCAGATGGTACAAATACGATGACCAAACGGTCACGGAAGTCACTGAGAATCAAGTGAGGTCTCAGAATACCAGCGCCTATCTGCTATTTTATACGTCATTTTCAAGCAACATTATTTAGTATTAATATACAGATACCAATGGGCACGGTTCACAAGTAAATTGATTACTTAAATAGTCATAAATATTACGTGACAATGTAGATATTAAATATCTTTTGTATGTACATTTATTAAATATATCATGTGATTTGTACGCATAGGACTGTGACGACAGTAAAAAGGCTTGGTTGGTGTTGGGATATGTTAAAAATATGTAAATAAATAACGTTAAACCCGACTACTTGTTACGGCACGTCGTTCAAAATAATATCAAATAGTTGACAGATTAATTTAAAAAAATGCATCGCGAATGTGTCTAGCCATTGCAATGTACTTTGTACTGTACCCCAATATATTTCAGTAATGTTGTTTCACTCTGTACCTTTATGCATGAATTATTGTAACTTAATTGTTTTACTGTTTACTTGTGTTGTCGCTCATAAACACAGTATTTCTCGTTTAACGCGATGGTAACTACCTTTCTCTCGCAGTCTTCTATCTGCTAATATTTAATTTGCACGCTCTTTCAAATCATTTGAATCTTCTCTTATTTCGAGACAATCAACAAAAGATAACTCTGGCAAAACTTTATTTTACGCTTTATACTAAGAATTTGTTTTCCCCTAATCTTTTATGCATCAGTATTTTGCAACATATAAAATTCAATGCAACACAACGGCGTTGTTATGTACATATATATAACGAGAAGCAAATAAAAGAAATAATAGTAAAAGATATTGTTCCTTTTGGAGAACTAGTTGATCACATTTTACACAGCAATCGTGAGATACTGTTTTATATGACATTCGATATATCTGTGACACGGAAAGAAAAATTGTTTAAACGCGTATGAGAATACGCGAATTGTGTTCAATTATTGCTAGTGCTTGCAAAATTGTTAACAACTTGCGCAACATTTATTAAATATGAATGTTTCCAAAGTGCCACCACTAGTTTGCTTATTTTGTATGTGAAATAAAATTTTACAAACTTATGAAGTCACGAGGGTTTGTCTTTATTTACAAATTAAATACATTTCACGCTAATTTTAAATGGACAATCATTCAACGCGTTAGCCCTTCAAGTTTTTATTCATATATTTTCTTTTTCAGTGCTCGACAATTAATTTTCTTCATAACTTATTAACTGTTACTTGATATGTCTTATCACTTAAAACAGCATATCGTACACACTCCTAAAATAATAATTATGGAATGTTTCGTATTTTTCTAACATCATTTAAGTCTGTAATTTTGTAAACATACACGAGAGGCCTGTACGCAATTTAAGACCTATATAAATTATTGCAAGGCACCTATACCGGAAGTTAGGTAAATTTTATTCGTAAATTCACCGAGTGGACTCCCATCCGTGAATAAAATTCACCCAACTCTGACCTATACCAATTATTGAACATTTGATTTATGCGTTACTATATCGACGTCTGTTCCAAATAATTGTTCGCAGTGTTCACATCCGTTCCGGATAGAAGTTAACGTATGTAAATTTTTATCTAAAACTTTATCCGAAACGTTATTTGCAAATCATGGATAAAAGTTTCTCTAAATAGAATTTGTTATTTTAATTATTGTAAATGTGCCGCTCTCTTCGCGACTACCGATTTTTCATTTCGATATTAACAATCAGAGATCGGTCGTCTTCGTTTTTTAAACTTTGTCGAAACAGTTGAGCGTGTTGCCACGCGCAATCGCCTTGGCCACCGGAAACCGTCGCTGTGAGAATTAATTTCACCGACCCTTCTAATTGGTCCGCGCGATAATTGGAGCAATCGTTGATAGGAAAGATTTGCGATTTACTTTGATCTGTATCGTCGAAGAATGCTTCCAACTGCCAGAATATATTGGCCCCGTGATATACCGTTACCATAGCTTGCAAATTAAAAGTGGAAACGCATAAATTTGGATCCGTTACCACGAAACTCCATTTTATTTGACCGCTGGTGCATTCTGGAGAACGACTCAAGTACACCGTTTTCCAATCGTTCTCTACTTTACGAAATACTTCACCTTCTATGCCACTCACGCCATTTTGCCAACCGAACACGGATGTTAATATTTTCCCATCGTTATTTATCACATTGTACGTGTCTTTAACAATTGAGTAATACAGATGAAACGCTTCCCCGTACTTTGAAACGTCCCAGGAATAGTTTATTTCCGACTTTGTCTGAAAAACACGGTTTAAGAATATTTTTATTTCAAAAATAATAACTTTCTCATAACCGTATAACGATAATTTTGTATTTATACTTGAGAAACTTCCCCTCGCGCTAGTCTCCATTCGTAAGAACCGGTGGATCTCTCCCCATAATTTCTGTTGTCGACGAAGTTCTGTTTCTCCGGTATGCTTATCAATTCCACGAGCTCCATGAGCTTCCGTTTTAACACGTATTGCCTACGAGCTGCGCTATAATTGGCAGAGAATTGACGATGATTGTTCAGCGACTCGATCAGCTGTAATAAATTACTTTCGGAACAGAGTTTTCGTCTTTTCATTACGCCTACTTGATCACGCGTGTACCGCCAGGTAACATCCTGTACTTCGTCCTTCGAGAAAGCTATTATATAAGTCAACTGTTTCTTCCAACCCTTTTCGTACATCAATGGACGATCCATAACGTCTTCGCATGGATCTATGTGAATCCATCTGTTTTCGTGTATCGACCATACCTGAAACGATTTACACCGATGTGTTTGCGAGAAACTGTTACGACTTATGTGTCTGCTAGAGATCCCCGTTTCACGTGTATCTAAAATTCGTCTTCAAACATAGAGAAATAGGTCCAATTTCGTTCATTCGAATACATGACAAATAAACGAATACACGTTGAAAACCGTGATCTCCGGTTTTCACGGACTTCCATTAAATTGATCAATAAGCAACGAAGCAGGTGACAGTTTCGCACGAACAATTCCTATATTGCAATGAGCCAACGAGTACCTTTGCACACGTTTCCCGTTAATGTAAGGCCAGTTGCCATTACACACCTCTGTCCAAATGTGATCTGTCTGATCATGTACCCATCTCGCGTCGTATCCCAACGCTCGACACATGAGCGTAAATACGTTAGCCCATTCTCCGCAACGTCCCCGTCTTAAAGTTAGCAACGGTTCCGGATCGGAATAGCGAGGAAATTTAACCAACATATCGCAACTGGTACATCTAAAATAAAATTCGATTCGTTCGTTTTCTATCAGGCATAGCTAATCACGTTTGAGATCACCAACTGAACTACTCGAGGCAAGGTCGACAGAGCAACGAGGACACAGAGACTTACTTATGTATTTCTATCCTCGAACACCTAATGTCTGTGGAAGGTACGACCGAATGATGCTCGCAACTACCAAAGCAAGCCGAACACCTTGGACTGTCAACCCACGTAAAGAATTTGTACTTGAACCAATGAGACAGTTCCATGAGAAACAAATCTCTGGTATCTATATCGACCTCTTTGTATCGTCTACCTGTATCCTTGTCTGGATCGGCTTGGTTCAATTTTACTTGTCTGTGAAATGAGAGAAGACCAAGTAAGACAAAGTAACAGCGAAAGAATAGATTTACACAATAAATTAATACTTTTGCAATTCTCTAATCCTAGTCATGGTTGCAATTTGAAGACTCGTAATAGGTATCACCCTCCTTGCTTTCTCTTGCAGACTAGGGTCCTCATACTGCATAACATTGTGAAAAGAGTGTATAATTTCTGTCAAGAATGCTCTTTCTTTCAGATTTGATGTTTTGGGCAACAAGTTGTAGGCTGCTGACGTATTCACAACATTTTTTTTAGCGGAAGGCTTCTTGGAAAGCAAGCTTTGGAGGGTTTGTAACTTTGAGAGAGGTGCTTCTTGTGGTAGGACAAGGGAATCAGAAACCTGACCAGCGGAAGAAACGTGTGTTAATCGAATTCATGAAACGCGATTCGAAAGATCGTCGTCTACAGCTATAATTACCTCAACGAAACCAATATCGAATAGACATTCCATAGCTCCAGCAGCGGGTAGCAATTTTTCAATAACAGGATTGTCGAGATGCACTTCCCGATATTGCTTGTCATTCGGATGCGATAAGATATTCTGACAGACAGTTAACAATGCACTTTCTGCATCATCTCGCACACGGTCGTCGTTCTCCTTTAGTAAGTCCAGGCATCGTTGCAAATCTCTATCCATGACTCGAGTGCTTCGACAACCATTTAAGAACGACACGTGTGAATTCACGCAAAAAATGCAGTCAACTCTGAACAAGATATTCCCCGTAAATCCCGTATTCTTAATCTCTTTATTAGCGCCGTATGTGACAAACAATTTAAGTTTGTTATGGAATGCGGAAGCAATCGTACGAGCTGATACGTTACCTTACGAAGGTAATTAACCATGCAAACGATCATAAACAAAATACATTGGTCTTTATAATAAGTCCATTTGCGCCGACGATGGCATTTTAATACTTTATTTTAAACTTTTACTGCATAACCGGTCGTTCAATAGCGAAAAATATTGTTCGCGACTGATAGCTTAAAGGAAATCGTACAAATCAAAATGGCCGTCGATCATATTTAGGAAAGGAAGGTTCCTAAAATTATTTTGTGGTTTTTAGTCGGTAAAAGTCCAACGCAACTATCGAAGGAAATTGTTGCAATCATAATGAAAGCAACTTTTAATTCTAATTCATAGAAATTGTCTATATATCTTTGTATAATGTATGCATTTGTCATTAGATCACACGTATACCTCCAGGGTTAACTTTAATACATGCATATGACCGCTAGATGGTACACGCCGGCTCAAAAAATGGACGTTTCTCGTATAAAACTATATCGATTCTGACGATTAACACATTTAACACGTTCACTGTCCATGGCCCTTACACGGGTCATAACACCATGCTTTTGGATACACCGCTAAGAAACCGGACAGTGAACGTGTTAACACGAGAAATACGATGAGTGTGGCTATTTTAATTAGCTCAAATAATATGAACAACACGTATGCGATATTTGGTACGAATAACACAAATTGAGTCTTATTCGAGTACTGAATCAAATAAAAAGCTATTCAAATGGCACCTAATGTTTAGAATATCTCCCAAGTATGGTATTAATTTTAGTACAGACCTGGGCATATTCGAACAGTAGACCAATTTATAGTAATTTATTCGTGTCGTTCGTTTGATAGAACAGTGAAATTTTGATTTGAAATATTTTGTTATGTGATTGAAATTTATGGACAAGCAGCGGTTTATTTTTTACTCGCCATTCGACATTTTTATTTAGGTGTTTGGCCCGTCTCTCTCTTAAAAGGGGTTGAAATACTTAAAATATAGGGAGCGTTACTACGATCGATTGATTTTCAATGAGAATCGCCAGTGACAAATCGTAGGAAGTTTATCCATTGCGGTGCAAGACAAATTGACGTAGCGGAGTTAGAGGACCCTCTTAGGTACATCGGTGGCTGACAAACTGGTCAAAGCCCTCTTACAACCCTCTCTGCTGCCAAATTATCGGACTCCTGTGGACAGCAAACCCATTTATACTGCCCACTGGCTAAGACGTACTAGGGCCACAGATAAAGAGAATCGTACCGATCGAACCGATCCGCTAATCGACGACCAAAACAGGAACTGTTACTAACCAATAAATTGCATGATACATTAACACCTTGACTGCACGCGTCAGACAAATATGGCGGAATGAGGATCACAGTGGTGTAAGTCCACTCGTGCTATGAAACTGTTAAAAATTATCTGTGTAATTGATTGAGATCAACTTACACCACTAGGTTCCTAAACATCTTGGTTTGCCAAAATAAAGAGTAAGATGGTGTTTTAAAGAAATTTTTCAATCAAAACTCTAATGGAGATTTGGATACATTTTGACAATAAATTTTTCAGTCAACATTTTGACGTTTCCTCGGATGATGTTTCTTTGATCGTTACCGCCCATTCTTGCTCCCATGCAACAAGACGTTCGTTTTTCGAGCAATTTATCGCGCTAGTTCCGATCTTTATAAACGTATTTAGCAATTTCGAGTGTTACGTTCCTTAACTACGTTTTGATCGCATAGCCGTCTCACGATGTACTTTATAACATCGTAACACAGCGCGGAATTACGTATCTCATTATTCTTGTCTCGTACGCCGGTGGCCAAGTGTAGTCTGCGTCATTAACTAGAGCTATTTCTGAAATCTACAATCTGCACAAATTCAACGGCATTACGGAACAACCGAACCATCGTTCGATCGCGAATTCTCCCGTCTCAAAGTATTAACTTTACGTACTCGTAAACTTTTCGATACTAATTAACCAGCCAAAAGATTCATCGAGCCATTTTTGTCACTAATTAACAATAACACCGTGCAAAATAAATTTCAATCACTTCGATCGAAAGATAATATTCGTTCGGGGATATATGCGACGATAATCCCAGAAAAGTTTTGAGGTTAGGAATGATCGTATATCGTCTACAAAATGGCGCTGGTTGGGTGTGCGTGGCGAAACCTGTCCTTCGAGCGACTTTTATTCGGTGGAAGGATCGGATACGGGAAAAAGGATCGTTCGGGGGTGTGGGGGGTGCAAAAATGTTAAGAGATTGGAGTTTAAAGCCTGGCAACAATATGGCGGAACGGAATGGAGTGAAACGGCCCGGCGCTGTCGGATGGAGTGAGTACGGTCGACAGTAGTTGGTGGGCTATAATAACGTATAAAGTAATTAAGGACATCGGGCGACAGCGGGAAAAGGGGCAGGGGAGCGCGGGGGGGGCGCGGAGGGGGCAGGGACGAGACGGGCGGAGAGGAAAGGGGAAACGGACAGTTTAGGGAATGCGACATTTACATAGTAATTAAATCGCGGGAGCAAGTGGGACCGTTGGGGAAGATACTGGTGCTCGAGCAATTACAGACGCATTAGATTGCGGTAAGCACTTGTTTATGGCCTACCCTCGCGTCGCTTCACTCGACTCGATTCTGTTCACTCGTTCGCCTAGCAGTTACATCGCGCCCCGTTTTCTTTCTTTTTTCCGGGATCAACTTATTCCCGATCTACACGAGCGAGTCGCGACCGAGATAAATGAAGGTCCCCACGGAATTGCATCCCTTGCATCCGCGACAGAATTTTACTGGAACAATGGATAACCAATAAGACCAACCTATTGCAATTTATCCGTGACGTTTACTCGATCGTACAGTCTATTTTTATTCAACGAGCAACAGATCGTAAATTGATCAGCTTCTAATCGTTGCAAAGTGTAAATTAATGCCTTTACTAAATCTTCCTCACGTTTGCTTAAGACTCTATTTTGAACAATACTTGGATCGAAATTCTTTTGGGAGGCCACCGTTAAGTGAAAGAAGAAGAACAAACGACTATAATTTATTTTATTTACCCCTTCTATCGTAGCTCGAGTCGCGCGATAGAGCACGTTTTAAACGAAACAAAAATCGATGGCTAACGTACCAAGTACACGCGCCAGTTTATCTTAGCTCCTCCCTGTTCAATTAACTAATTGAAGCGATTGTTACTATTAATTCTGTTGGAAGCAAATTTATAATTTCAAACTTGCTGCGATTGGATCGCTACGAGATGAAGTTTTGCTTAAAAGCTTATAGACGTGGCTGTTACAGAAACGAAACGGAGCCCATAAGGGTGCGATATTCAATTAGCGACAACGATGACACATAGTTGTCTTCGTTCAATGCTAAATGAAGCGGAAAGGACCCTTGGGGATGACCAGCTGTTAGCATAACTCGCCGGCAAGTGCGAATATTCTTTATCCAAGAATGATTGGGCTCCATTTTCCCTCTGCGATATCTAATAATAAGAATAACACCATCGTTGTATAAAATATTTTTAAAAATCAAAGAGCAAGTTGAAGTTCACCCTTGGAAGAATCGGTGAAGCTAGAGATTCGCTCGGACTAGTTTCCGTTTCGACCGTGACTTTGCTTTTCAAATAAATATTTCGATCTGTTTGCACAGGACGAAAAAGGGGGGACGAGGGGTCGTGCGCGATCAAAGGAAGGGGGGGACGAGCTTATTGTTACTCCATTTTGCACCCTACCGGTCGCTTGGACTCGGGGATGCGTTTCTCCCGAGAGTCGCGTCCGAAGTCAATAAATAGAAGTATGCTAGTTGTAACGATAATAAAAGCATTGAATTACAGGCCTGTGCGAACAACGTCTGGAAGTTCGAATCGTGTAATCCGCTTTTAATAACGTTGGCTGAAATTAGTCGCGCGTTACCGGGGGGATAATTGTTCGAAACTGAGTTAGCCCGCAGACGAAACGTGCGCGGTGCCTTTGCGATGGGGAATAAGTTTAATTGGGCCAACAAAATCACCCTTATTTTTTAACACCACGAATGTGGTTTATTTATTAAACGGGTGGATGTCGATTTAATTTGTAAATGTATTTTTTAAACAAAAAAATTATCTTTGTTTATTCGACTAACATCTGTAATTGACTTTCTATATCGTCATTGACGAAAGTTTAACGACCTGCTCCTACGTCTGTTCCCTTCGAGTGACGCTGCACATTTTTTTCACCGGCGATTCGTCGTGGTTTACGGAACACTGATCACTGATCAGACATCAATCGTGTATATCCTTAGGGGGTGCCATAAACGTTTAGCTCCCACCAATAAAATAGTAATGAAGCTGTATTAACGTTTTCGAATACTTTCATCCTTTGTACTGTGGCCTCATATTCCTTTACACTTTCCCCAAACTCAAAATATACAAAGATGGAAGCTAAGGAGGAAGCATCGATCTCTAAGATGTCTAATGTTTAACCACTAACAGCAAACCAATCTAATTTGAAAAAAAGGGATATGCGTCCAAAGATAGCAAGATACAAGAACACTCCTGATATTGGTCCTGATCTGATCACATTCTCATGACCTATAACCTTGAAACCCAGGGAAGAGCTACTCCAAAAAGAAGACAAATGGACCAAGTGCCCATCAATTCACCCGATAACTGTCGTGAAAGGTTTAGATGCAATCATAAATGTTAATGTAAATTTAGTAGTGGTGACTGGGTGTCGCTACTCCGTGAAGAGAAACGTACGAATCCCCCATTCATCGTCATCAAACACACCGAAGGATGTCTAATGCCTAGCCACCGACAGCAATCCAATCTAATCTGATACAGCTTCAGGAGAAGGACATTCATCCAAAGGAGCAGAACAAGGTAGACGTCTGTGGTGTGGCGAAAAGAGGATTGGAGACATAGAAGCGTAGGTGAGACGAGGGTTAC